TGTCAAAGGGTGATGTTTATGCAGCACATTTATTTTTCCTAGTAACCAGCATACTAATGCAGTGCAAGCCTCCAGAATTAACAGGAATAAAACATAGAAAGACTTCAAGACAATAAGAAACCTAGTCTCTAATATCTTGTTAATAAACAAGTGGTCACCATACTTTGGCTTTGGAACAACCCAGCAACTTCATTCTAGAGGAGTTACCAGAGTAAATAAACAGTTTTTGAGTGATTACTGTTTGAACTGAAACTGTTACTACGTAGCATTGTAGCTACTGTTTACCTGCCCAATAGTCTCTTAAGTCAGAAGGTAATATATTTATTTTAAGGACTGCAGACCAGTTACCACATAGACTAGCACAAGAGAGGAAGGTTAGATTCTTATCTTGGTAGTTATACAATAGTTTTCACATATTGCAGTATAAAACATACAGTCTTTTTCAAGAGTCACTTTGGTACTAAATGGGACACATTTAGCATGCTAGAATCATTTGCTGCATTTTTCCTAATAATTTTCAACCTGTCTGACTAAACTGAAACAAACATAAACCCTGCACAAAATCTATCGGAGTGAAACCTCAGCGTGGACAACTTTCACAGAATGTTGGACCCTACTCCAATTTTAACAGTTATGTGAAAGAGCAGGGTTTGTATAGTAACCTTCTGCTTATGTCCTACTAGCAGTGCAAATGAAACATCATTCAAATGAAAATACAGAAAGACGTTTGAAATGAAGTGAGTTTTTTTTTCTGAGAGTCATGCTTTTCTTCTGATGAGTGCACTTGATAAAATATGTTCCACCCACCCACAGCCCCCTGCCTGCACTGTGTTCCACTGATAATGTGACCCACCACACTGAAACAGTATTATTTCCTGAAAGGCTGTAGGCAAGCATGATGATGAGAGGACAAAAAGAGAAGTGAATGTTAAATAGAATGGGAGGGGAAGGAGCTGTGCATATGTATGAGGAAAGCAGAAAAAAATGGTAATTAGGAAAAAGTATGGTGAGAATTGGATATAAGAGACAAAAAAAGTGCAAATTGCTTTTAAAATGTGTGCATCATAGAATACAGAGGAATAATTCTACCCACATCATCAGTCAATTGCCACCAATTTGTGGGATATGAATGGGGGAAATTAAGATAAATTTCAATGATATTAGCATAAGTTTCCTGTTTATATAGTGGAGTTTGTATTTTGGAAAATGTTTGAGAGCAGGCAAAACAATCCTTTTCAGTTGCGTTTAAAAAGGAAGGACAAAAATACACAGAAATAAAAAGCAAGGGTGTTTCATTTATGTAGAACTTAACTAGTTTTAACATAATTCCAGGATTGTACGTCTATATAAATATGCAAACACTCTCTTTTCATCAGTTTGTCTTTTCCACAAGCGTGTAAGAACATGATATTTAAGAACAAGTCCTTGGTGATAACATTTACAAGCAAAGCTAGTTAGATTTGTAATCAAAAGAGGGCTAGGGACAAGAAAATTATCCCAGCAGAGAAATGCCAGTACTTGTCAAACATATGACAGTGCTCTACTTGACTTCAATAGGGGCAGATTCCCTGCTATATGCTGCATTCAGTGTAACTTTGAAGTTGTCCTCATTGCCAGTCATATCACTTACTTGAGCAAGGACTTACTCTGGTTTTAGCTGTAGCTCACCTTTAGTGAATCATCAGCATAAAAAGCCTATGCATCACTTAAGTTCTCATGCACTGATAAATGCCACTTTTTAACATGTCCTAACGCAATTGTTATTAATGGAGAGAAATACAGCCTGTTTCATGAGGTTGTATTTTATATGCTCATATTCATACATTTTTAGTCTGCTCAAAGTCTTCTGTTTTGTGCCAACTGTTATATTTTGGTCCTTACTAAGCATCAGCTGATAGCAAACAGCTTTGGCCCTGAACACATGCCTAATTTTATTTCTGTAATTGTCATGATTTAACCCCAGGCAGCCACCAAACCCCACGCAGCCGCTTGCTCACTCCCCCACCAGCAGGATGGGGAGAGAATCAGAAGGGTAAAAGCTAGAAAAACTCATTGTTTGAGACAAAGACAGTTTAATAGAGAAAGCAAAAGCTGCACGCACTGAATTACTTCTCTGCTTCCCACAGGCAGGTGGTGTTCAGCACCTCCAGAAGAGCAGGGCCCATCACACAGAATGGTTACTTGGGGAGACAAACACCATCACCCCAGATGTTCCTCCCCTTCCTCCTCCTTCCTCCCACTTTATATACTGAGCATGATGCCCTGTGGTATGGAATATCCCTTTGGTTGGTTTGGGTCACCTGTCCCAGCTGTGTCTCCTCTCAACCTCCCATGCACCCCCAACTACCTTGCCAGCGTGGCAGTACAGAAAGCAGTAAGGCCTTGGCTCTGTGTGAGCTCTGACCAGCAATAACAAAAACATCTCTGCACCATCAACCCTGTGCCTTGCACAAACCCTAAACATAGCCCCATACTAGCCACTGTGACGAAAGTTAACTCCACTTCAGCCCAAACCAGCACAGTAATTTAATATTATTCTATATTCTCTCTACTGAGAGAAATATCCCACAAGTCATTGCCAAATCAAGCAAGCTATTGGCCAGACAGTGACAAGAGAAAGACAACTGTTTGTTGTTAATGGATACGATAGGTGAATAATAAATCAAAGGAAGAACAGCATTCATGTATTTTAGCATGTTGGATGAATTTAGAAGTGTGGAAAATCAGAATACTTTTGGGTTATTCTGCCTTTGTTTACCTCCAGTCACTTCTTAGGCAGAAAGTTAAATAGTCCAGGATTGGCAAATGACAACTTAGTGCTCAATTTGCCTATGAGACTACATACTAAACATCCAAGCCAGATTTTTCAACCAGAATATGAATTTATCATTTGTATTGTAACACTTATCACTTTAGAAGTGATTAATTATCACCTAGAGTCTGGCCCATGCCCTAGGGAAATGTTTAGACCTGCAATTAACTCTTTTAGACTGATTAATATACCTAAAGCATTTTATGTTTCCTTTCAAACAGTACAAATTTTTCATTTAATATTATTTAGTTCAGGACTATAGCAAATGTGGGGTGATTCACAGGATTTTCAGGTGTGGTGATGAAACTTCAAAACAGCTGCAATATAGCAACTATTTGTCATCTGTGGCACTATCTTTTTAGCTGATGAGAGGTAAAAAGAGTTGTGAAGTTACCTGAATTGGCAGTGGGGAAGATCCCAGTCTGATTTAGAATATCTGAATAGCTATCGTGTATCACATGAATTACAGAGGCCTTATCTGATCTATTATGGTAGTCTGCTGAAGCTTCTTCAGAAAAAATCATCCAATTGCTTTGTGCTGCCTGACATACTAATTTGCACCAACTAGTAGTAATAACTGGGGAGTGTGAGTTGAGTATTTAACTAACTGCAAGTCTTCGGTAGCAGATACAGACTTTAAAAGAAAAATTCCAAGGCAAATGATTCAATAGCTTTGTTACAAACTCATTGTAACGTTATTACTGAGAACATAAAAAATCATATTAGGTTTTCATATTAGGTTTCGAACCTAAACAATTCAGTGATTCTAGGGTATTTTATTCAATGTTTTGCCATTCTGTTGCACTCCATTGAAATGGTTCTTGCTAAAAAATGTACTTACCTCTTCTTCAATGTTAAAACCTTCCCCTTTGATGTATTAGCTGCCATCAGTCACATGCTTCTCTCTAGAATCTAATTTTTACTTGATTTCCATGGCCTTATTATTTCTCAGATCTCCTTTTAGCTTTCTGATCATCACTTCAGTAAGTGCTTTAGAGGGATCTTTCTCAATACACCTGTGATCTAGTAGCATGGACTGGATGCCCAGTAGCAGTTGAAGTACTGCTTGGAGCAAAAGCCCAAGTGCAGTCTTTGAAACTGGGGTTAGAGTTAGTGTCATCTGAAAGTTCATGAGCTCCAAGACTGCTCTGATATGCAAGCTACAGCCCAGTAAGTGGAGACATCCTTCTGGAAGAAACACTGTGTGCTTTCTGCCATGCTTCCTCTCATGCTTTGAACTGTCTTTTGGTAGATGCCTCTAAAAAAGCTTGAGAATTATTTGGGTGTTAATTTTCTAAGGCAGAACCTACCATGCTGGCTAGCTGTCTGCCTCCTTTAATTAAATTGTAAATTTTTAAAGATGTCGTCTCCTCTTTTCCTAACACTGATGCAGCTGGATAATAATTATTTTCTTGTAAATGCAAATATATAATTACAGTTTTATTCCTATTGCAACTCATCTACTGTTATGTCCTTTCTGTTTTCGGAAAACTTATCACATCTTTGTTGTATCAGACATCTGGTCAGTATAGCTCAGCTACAAACTGAGGATTGTAAGAACCGTTTCAATTAGCATAATCTCCCAGTCACAAACAGTACAATCTTTGTCATCGAAAAAGAGAATTTGTATAAAGTTTCTTCTAGACATTGTAGTCATTTTGGAGTTAACGTGGTTGGGAAGAGGTTATTTATTTCTTTTTTGTGCACTTAAAGCGCAGAATTAAAATGCCTCAAATAGTGTTTTATCATTTAGTACTACGCATTAATTTCATCACTGGGATACAGACCTGTATTTAGCAGAGTGGTGTAATTGGCCAGTAGTGACTCTGGTGGCTATGCAAAAGACACTAAAAGAGGTGAGAATCACCACACAGTCGAGACCACAGCATTGTCAAGGTCAGCAATACCAGCAAACTTAAAGGGTAAGCTGCAAGGCAGCATTAAGTGACAGAGGAAGAAAAAACCCTTCTGTTTAAGCTCTGTCATCATGGAGACTGACCAGGATGTTTTGCTCAGTTCACTCCTGTGTGTAAGTCAGTGTGTCCCTTGCTTGGCTAGGCTAGCCTTCATGAGACCAGCCACTATTTCTTGTGCCTCTGTGTCCCCAGCCATAAAGGTTTGTTGGGCATCTCATGGCTTGGTTTGGTTTTGGGGTTTTTATGTGTCTTTTTATGTGAGGTTTTAACAGCTGTGTAAATTAGGAACTAGTGTTAAAGAGAAAAATTATGAGCGTGAGGGTATAGGCAGTGTTCAGCTGGGCCAGATTCCCACTCACCACTCAATATGGTTACTCACTTAAGCCCTCTGGACTGCTCTTCAGAGACACTTTGATTTTTCCCTTCACGATACACAGGTGCTTAAGGAAAATTCAGGCCACCAGAAAGACTATTCCAAGTACTTCAATGGGTCATATGGGTTTTGTGTGGTAGATCAGGTCTTTGGAGACCTAGACAAGAACGTTACACATTTACTTTTCTCTAGCGGACTTCCTATTCTTGCTGAGCAGACTCTGCCTCTCTCTGGAAAAATTATTGGTTGATATCTAAATTTAGATTTATGAGAAGAAAAGATCAAATATTTTTCTTAGGTGTGGTCGTTCTGAAGGTTTTTATCTAAAGATACAGCTTCATTTTTTTCAGACTTTCTGAAAGTAAACCCCATACTGTTCCTCTGCTATTTTCTCTTATATGGAAAGTAAGAAACGTTTTAGGTCTAATACGGATTAGCCACTGTGAACTGGTAGCTTTGTTCCAATTAATGTTTTCTGCTAAGACTGAATCTCTCTGTGTCTGTTGTACATGTACCTGCATGGTTTGCCTGTACTTTGGGATTTGCATCTCTCTACAGTGCTGTTGTTGCCTAGCAGAGTCTGGTATAACACAAGATTAATATAGTATGTGTTGGTAAAGCTGATTTTAAATTTAATATTAGCATCAGTGTGCCCTTTTTAATCACTTATTAGTCACTGTTTATACTGATCTGTATTCCTTTTGTTTTCCCTGCTCAGATGTTGCGAGAGCAATTGAGTTACTGGAGAAACTGCAAGAATCTGGAGAAGTACCAGTACACAAGCTACAGTCTCTAAAGAAAGTGCTGCAGAGTGAGTTTTGTACAGCGATCAGAGAGGTATGAATTTTGTATTTTTAGTTATTTCTCAGAATAACATCCCTCTCCTGAAAAGGAAAGTGTATTTGCCTTTCAGTGCTGGAGAATCAGGAGTACCTTGTATAAGGGATGATAGATGTGAGATGTGTAGCTGCCTGCTACTGTGCGGAATGCTGAAGTTACTGAAAAGCAGCCACAGAACAGTTGGATCAGCAAGGCACCAAGCCTGAGGCAATTAGCCTTGCAAAGGAGAAAGGGTGATTAATTAGTACTTTAGCATTCTGCTCTCCATGTTTCAGGGTCTGTGGTAACCTGTACTGGGATATGGGGACATGCCAAGTTAGGTTAGTACAAGCTTAAATGCCTCTCCTTTGAGCTCAGGTGTGTGATAGGGATGTGCTGATAAAGTCAGAATGCAGTGAGAGACAAAAGATGCAAAAGCTGAAGTTAACTGAAGCTGACAGGAATCTTGCCTTTGAAGCCAGTGGTCGAGTCCCAGTGGGCTTTGCTCCACGCGGCACAAATCCTTGTCAGATTGCTAAGAACTGTGATCATTACCCTACCAGCCGTGTTCAGGGCCTTCCTAAGCTCTGCCCAACAGTAGATAAATGCTAATTGGTCTTTTTTCTCGTCAAACTAGAGAAGATGCATCCAACTTCTTACATGCATACAAGCAGTATCTTTAAAGCAATTAAATTACAAACACTTCTGTTAGAAGCTCCTTAGACAAGAAACCATGATTTAATACAACATTGTGTCAGACATGTTACCTACTAATCTGAGTTCTGTTAGTCTGCCAGACAGAAGCAGCTCTAAATGCCCTAATGAAGGCAACACCTTTTCAGTAGAAAATCTGTAAGAACTTCTGTTTCAGTTTATCTGTCTACTGCCTGGAACTAATCCTCCCTTGCGAAATCAATAGGGAATCTAATATTCCCTCAATGGTAGCAGAATTGAACTCTTGATAGCTAGGCAACAGCAACAGATTGATTGAGTGGACTGCTGGGTGTTTGGAAGGAAGGGCGAGATGAACAGACATTAGTTTAAGAAGCAAAATGGAACACACTATTTTATGGAATATATTCTTGAATCAAAGAGAGGCTTTCTCTTAATTAAATTGCCATTTTCAAGGCTTTTTAAAGAGAATGGTATTCCCTGACAATAAATAATGGCACTCTGTGCCCTCAAAAGCTGACTAGTCCTTTCATTTAACAAGCTAAAGGCTTCTTTAAATAACCAGAGAGCATTGAAAAGTTGTGGGGTTGTTTGGGGTATTTTTTTCAGATAGCAGAGCCTGGTACTCCAGTTGGTAAAGGCAGCTTTGAATCTTTGGAGCAGCATCAGTGAAATCTTACCAAATTTATATTAATTTCTGGAAAATAGTCTTAGCAGAAACAAATACAAAGCTTATTGAAACAGGTACAGAGCCTGGTAAATAGGAAAGTGACTGAGAAAAATTTACTCTCAGTTCAGTGAACTGAAAGTAGATTTTGACAAAATCATCTCAGTGGCACAAAAGAGTGTTGTGTAAAGACAACCTGCACGTGACAGACTGTCTAATTAGTGGTAGATTCTTACAGTCAAATAATAGTCACTTTAAGAAGCCTGGAGCTAGTTGTTACACAAGAATTGACTGATGACGTATGAGCATTTCTACCAACTTCCTAAACAAAAACATTTTTATATATAATAGAACCTATCTATTTAATATAGCACTGTGAGAGGACAACATTTCTACATCGGAAAAAAGTAATGCTATTCACTGCTATGTATATAAATCTCTTCTTAGAAAAAAATTTTCAAATATAAAAAGTCCAGTAACAAATCTTTTCATTTAGGGAGAGTGGGAGGATTGACATACATGCATTGCTAGTACTTAAGGCCATTCAACACATGGCTTCTCTCTTCAGTTACTTACATTAAGCCTTTGGCAAATATTTAGACTGGAACTCTCTTTTTTCCCCATGGGTTGAAAAGCTGTTGGAAAATTCAGAAAGTAATTGCTTCTATATTTAAAAAAACTAATAAGAAAAGCATGGAATATTTTGGTCACATTAGACATCTCCAAGCACTGCAGCAAGGGCTTGGAGAATATCTGAGCTGTGTTGTGCCATTAATCAGGGATGCCCTTCTTGCATGTCCTTCATGTACACTGGAGTTTATGAAAGCCTACTTTATTGAACGGCACATTTTTTTCTTAGTGTATTTGAGCTTGAGATAGCTGAGGCTAGAGAGAAATTTCTCTGCAAATTCTGCCTCCCATTGTTTATCTTCTCTTATCCTGAGTGTGATATATGAGAGTGTGGTGACTAGATTTTAATTTTCTTTATTAGCACCTACATAGACTAGAGGAGAAAAGTTGTTGACATTACAAGAGAATTCAGTTGGAAGTAATGAGAACAGTGGGAGTGAAGCAGACTGGGTGTGAGCTGTAGGTAGGAGTAATCAAAGTGGGATGAGGCGGCAAGCATTGGATTAGTATGTAAATTCTGGAAGAGGCTTCTTATTACATATATGCAGCAATTCAGATCTGCAGTGTGGTGTGCCCATTCTGTAATGCAAGATCTGAGCCCAAGTTTCTTTCACCAGAAAATCTAGTAAAAGATTAAGGCTGACTCTGTAGTCCTGTAATGGAGGAGCTTTGGAAAATAAAAATTTTATTTTCCAGTCTAAGAAATTGTGGCAACTTAACTGTCCAATGAGTTTGATTTTTAAAATATGTCCCAAAGAAACTCAGTGTTGGGCTGAGTGCAGGTGAAAGGATCAAAGATTAAACAGTCTGCACTGTATTTTCAGAATGTGACTTGTCCCTTCTACAAGTAGGACTTCTTTAACTACAGAAGCAGGAGGTCATTTTTATGACCAATTAGCCTTTAAAAATATGAGATATGTTTTTAGATGGCATGCATTCCAATCTAATGTGTTGAAATCTACTGAATGGCTGTAATTAATTGGATTTGTGGGAACTTGTTTAGGAAATCAACCCACTATTTCGAATCCCTAACACTAATATTCCACAGAAATAAAATCTTTTTAAAGTGACTGAGTGAATGAAATTTAAATAGAAGTACTTTAGTGTTTTTCAAGGATGCTATGTCAGGAAATGGTGATTAATGGTTCTCACTTAGCTAAATATAAGTACCACCAACTGAAATATTCTGTCTGGCACTAGGCAGGAATATGTATTAGGTCTGAAAATAATGGAAATAATTGAAGTATATAATGGTTTCAGTATTTCCTTTTCACCTGAAGACTACTAGACGAGAAAACAGGTTAACCAAAGTCTGTTCTCACTAAAAGTAAGTTTGGAAAAGAAATTTAATTGTGTTTTAAAATTACTTATTGCACAAGCTCCCTAGCTATATGAAGATTAATTAGCCATCTATAGCTTTGTCACCTGGCCAAACATGCACAAAGGTTGTCCTTTATACCATTAAGTCCTTTACTCTTCCAAGTGCTTTTGCTGATTATTTGAAGCTGTTGCTATGCTATAGTCTTCTGATTCCCAGGGGGTTGCTGGGATAAATGAAGGGCAAGGCTGTGAAAGTAAATGGATAACTGAGCTACTGAGAAGTTATATAAATATGCAGCATAAAACTAGGCAACCTGAATTGATAAAGTTGCTTTAATTGTTGTAGGTCAGTAAAAGGAACTTATAAGAACTGTAAGATAAGAATTTCTGGTCTGGCAAGAAACCTTAAAGAGCTGTGGGCTCGGAAGATAGAATAAACAATTCAGCAAACCACAGTGGATCATCAAGAAGAAAATATGCCATGCTGTAGCAGTTCATGGGAATTTCATTTACTGCTCATATCTGATACTTGGTTCTCAAAACACCAGGAGAGTAGCAATGCAGCTTAATAAATCCATTCTGATTAGTGGAGGTTTTAAGTTTATTCCCCAGTTTCTTTTCCTGTGCGTTAAACATATACTATTCAGGTGTATCTTGCTTTCCTCACAGCCTTCCTTTGCTACTCAAGGTTAAATCTAATGTTTTTCTGTGTGGATATTATGTGAAAGAAAAACTGACTAGTAAATAACTCTCATGAAACATTCATCAGTACCAAAATTAATCAGACACACAAAAGTAACCATTGTTTTATTCTATCATCTTATGACTCCCACCAAAATATCAGGTCTTCACAGCAGAGCACTTTTGTAGGATTGAGTCACTGACAGGAGGAGCAATCAACACAAATTACTCTAATCTTGTGCCTTTTGTATTAAATTAGTCAGTGAAAAAGCATGTTGTCTTTGAAAACAGTTCAGTTCCGCCCCTCAATAGTTTAAAACTTTTAATCTTATTATAAAATTGTCTTATAAAATGCGTAGTGTACGTTTAAAGACAGTTACTGACTTAGAGACCAAAAAATGCAGTGACAGAACACTGACCCATGTTTGATGAGGTCCAGCTGCTCCCCAGTTACGTTAAAGATATATTTGATTATTTTGTATAATATTAAAAGAATAGTTTATATGTCAAGTGGAATAGTTCATCAAGCCTAGTCAGTATATTGGAATGATTTCCTTTAATTAACCTGCATTTCCATGCCTTAGCAATCTGAATCCCAGTGCTGCTGATATGCAATATGTTGTTATCTGGTCATTTCCTCAATCCACCCACCTGCACTTTTCATTACTAACTCTGATATATGGCTTTGCACATGTTAAGGGACCAGAAGAAGGCTGCTGTCTAGTGAAAACTGAGTCTGGTGATAGTGTGCTCATTACTTTACTGTGATACCTTAGATGTTCACTTCAGATATCCCAATATAGTGGTGTACTCCATTTTTAAAGAACTGTACTAAATATAACAATCTGGGTATTAGCTGGACTCAGGCAGAAATTCTCATTAATTCTTTTATTAAATTATTGATTTAGGATTTTAATGTAGGAGTCATTTAAAGACCTAGTTTCATTGTGCTTCAAGAATCTCAAAATTTGTTTGCTTGGTTTGCAGTATAATGCTGTTCCTCTACCTCCCAGATCTAGCCACTGAAAGCAGAATTTCATAGTTTTCT